GCTTTGGTGGCTGAGGAGCCATCGGTATAGAGTGTCCACCACTCATCAAGAGGCGCCGAAGGCTCTTCATCCACCGCTGATCTCGCGGTGCACTCCGTCACGAAGTCCGCCAGGGCTTGGCCCTTGATGGCAGCCTCGGACGGATATCTATGTTGTATTGACTGAGGAAAATGACCCATTTTACCATCCGGGAGGAGCTAGTGGGACTCCTCATGAGGGCGCCGAGGGGTTGATGTGTGAGCACTTGGACCGGATGAGCTTGAAAGTAGTGGCCAAGCTTCTTGACGGTCCAAACGATGGCTAGCACCGTCTTCTCGACGGGAGAATACCTGAGTTCGGCCTCCCGGAGGGTTTTGCTGACGTAGAAGATGGCATGCTGGATGCCGTCTTCCTCCCGGATTAGTACTGAGCTGATGGCCGCAGGGCTAACGCCGAGATATAAGTATAAAGTCTCCCCCACCTTCGGTTTTGAGAGCACTGGGGGAGAAGAGAGGTACTTTTTAAGTTCGTCGAAGGCCTCTTGACACTCAGATGTCCATTGGAAACCCGCTGTCTTCCTCATGATTTGGAAGAAGGGGAGGGCCCTCTCGGCTGACTTGGAGAGGAAACGGTTGAGGGCCGCCAGGCGACCCGTCAACCGTTGAACTTCTTTGACGTTGCGTGGAGGCTCCATATTGATGATGGCCTGAATTTTCTCGGGGTTGGCCTCGATACCCCTTCGGCTTACCATGTAGCCCAAGAATTTTCCACCTTGTACGCCGAAGGTGCATTTTTTTGGATTCAACCGGAGGTTGAATTTTTGCATGATGGCGAAGATTTCCTGGAGGTCCTCGGCGTGAGTGCCGGCCTTCTTGCTCTTGAACGGCGTGGGTGATAACCCTTCGGTCAATTCCTGGCATATCCTCCGGCCCCCATGCAAAAACAATGGAGTAGGCGCGGAGGGCTTTGGTGATGCCAGCCTTCAGGTCTTCGGGGAGCTTGGCTCCAATCTTCATGACTCTCTTCGGCTTGGCCGGATTGAGTATCAAGTCTTCAGTCTCCTCGGCAGGTTCAGCCCTTGGCCTGCCTTCTTCCTCTTCCAGGGCCCTGGTGGTAATCGTATCAATTCGGAGCTCAGTTTTACTAACCTTCTTGGTAAGTTGAAGGTAGCATGCCCTGGAGAGCTTCTGATTCCCCCTCGAGTAGCCGATGCCGGTGGGTGTGGGGAACTTGAGGCAGAGATGCCTCATGGAGATGACGGCCTCCAAATCCTCGAGGGCAGGCCGGCCGAGGATGATGTTGTGTGCGCATTCGAGGTTGATGACGACGAATTCCACTTCGAGCTTGGCTCTGTGGGATCCATCGCCGAACTCAACCATGACGGTAATGACGCTGTCGGCATCTATACTGTCCCCCGTAAATCCGGAGAGGGGGGTGTTGATGTGCCGAAGGGACCCCCTATCGAGTCCCAACTCTTGAAAAGTACTGAGATACATGACGTTGACAGAACTCCCCGTGTCAACGTAAGTCCGGAGGATGATGGCGTCATTGATCTCAGTGCGGATGACGAGGGCATCCCTATGCGGCAGAGAGCCCGAGGGGAGGTCTGCATCTGTGAAGAAGATGGGATCCGCCCTCGGCCTTTTAGTTGGGGGCATGTGATTGACCTCCCCAATGTAAAGGGACTGTGCCCATTTCTTCCTTTGGCTTGTTGAATCGCCTCCGGTGTTGCCGCCGTTGATCATATGAATATGGCGTTTGTATTGTTGATGGGAGCCCTCTCCCTCGTCATCGAGGCCCCCAATTTCGCGCTTCTTCCCCTGTGGGTTTCCCAAGGGGATGGTGTTGGGGTTCACCCATTTGTTTGCCTTCGGCGGAGGCCCTTGATGATGAGGGGGACCCTGGGGAGGGGGGCCCCTGATAAATTGAGACAAGTGGCCCGCCTGTATCAGCCTCTCAATGGCGGTTTTCCGCTGATGGCAGTCGTCGGTTTTGTGTCCGTGGTGGCGGTGAAAGCGGCAATAGGGCTCATCAGGGCCGATGGCATAAATCTCGAGGGGTGTGCGGGAGTCTCGCTCCACGAGCCCTCGCTCTTCGGCGTGATCCAAAATGACGCTGACAGGATGCGTCAGGGGAGTGCGTGGGTGCTCAAGGAGGACGGGTTGCGCCCATGCCTTCGGATTGTTCTTGTAACCGCCCCCGGATCTGGCTTGGCCACCTCGGGAGCGATCGTTGTATTGTGCCTCTCGGTTGGCCGGAGGGGGAGGCCCTCCGGGCCGATTCCTGCCTTCATTCTTCTGAGAAGGATCCGTGTTGCGGCGATCCTTCTCGATTTCCTCCGCCTCGGCATATCGGTCCCCCCGCTGAAGGGCTTTTGTATAATCGCGAGGGGGATCAGTGATAAGGCTCCTGGAGAAGTTACCGTTGCGGAGGACGGTGTGGAAGAGGGCCATCAGTGTTCTGTCATCGGCGCCCTCGACCTCAAGGGAGGCCTGCCTCCAGCGTTCCAGGAAACTCCGAAGGCTTTCCTTCTTCTGTTGCCTCACATTCAGAAGGTGGGAGAAGTGTTTCTTTGAGCGGTGCCTCCCGGCAAATTGTGTGAGGAAGCGGTGGGCAAGTTCCTGCCAGGAATCGATGCTGCCTTCGGGCAACCGGTTGAACCACTCATACGCGGGTCCCTCCAAGGTTGAAAGGAACCAACGACATAAGTATTCATCCGACGCCCCCATCATCATCATACTGTTCTGATACCTGCTGTAGTGTTCTTGGGGATCTGTCTTCCCCTCGTATGGTTTGATGGGCTGCCCCCGATATTTATGGGGGATTTTGGCCGCCAGCACCCTTGGGGTAAAAGGCGTCCTAGTGCGGAGCTGAATGAGAGGCTCGCCGGAGCCTTCGGCTAGTTTACGCTTCATCTCCTCCACTTGCGCCCGGAGGTCAGCGTACTCCGGATCCGGCCTTGCCGTGGAAGCCGTCGGCGGTGCCTGACGATTCTCCTCAAGTTGACGGAGGAGGGCCTCGATGATTTCGTCCTTGGGGTCCTTCGGGGCAACCCCTTGGGAGTTGGCCCGAAAGGATTGCGCCTGATTGATTTGGTGTCTGGCATCATCGGCATGGAGGAGGGCTTTGCCCTTGCTCCGGGGTGGAGGCATGCCCTCGGCCCCCGAAGCGGAGGCTCCACTCTCCTGGGGCCTGCTGATTTCCTGTTTGCCGAGTCGGTCTTGGACCCCTCGGCGTCTGGGAACTCCCCCCAACCTCTCAAGTGCAGAGGTTCGGGGCTTTTCTTTCATCATAGGGCGCTTATCCCTGGATTGGGCCTCCTGGGAGGCGGTATCCTGTGCCATGACCCCCTCGGCATTGCCAATCCCCGGGGGAGGATTGTTGAACAAAGGAGGGAGTGGTGGTAGTTGGATAACATTCCCTCCAGCATAGGGCTGAAGGGGTGCTTGAGAGACGAGGGCTCCGGAATTGAGAGCCATGTTTTGTACAAAGGCCGCAAAGGCAGCCTGAAGATCGATGGCCGGGCCGGAGGGGGAACTTGGTTCTCACTCCGATCCCTCCTTCGATTATCAAGGCCAATGCGGGCATCAGGGGCGTTCTTCTGTAACTGCTGACGGTGGTCAGCAGTAGCCTGCTCCAATTCGAGGATGATACCACCCTCGGGTACCAAGAGCCTGTTGGAGGCCTCAGCCCCGTTGGTTTCGCCGGGGGCTACATGGTTCTCCTCAAGGGTTTTGGATTGGGCACGAGTTGTTCTTCCCATTTTTGGTAGGTGTTTTGAGTTTGGTAGAGGGGGAGGGTTTCTTACTCGATTGTTCTGACCTCTCAACGGGAGCACCAAATGATGGACTGTCTACCCGGGGGGTATCTTATCCGATGGGTTATTGCGGAAATAACTTAGAGAGAAGTCAGAGCAAAATAGGAGGAGAGAGAGTCGATTTATTAAACGAACTCGAGATGTGGAGATGGGTGTGGTTTTTTTACAATGAGAAATGGGCTGCTATTTATAGCAGCAATAAATGCGATGAGAGTACACGTGTCAGTAATCCGACGGCCGAGGGGTCACATCAGCCGGGTGGCACCAGCAGTGGTACGTTCACCGCATTGAATGCGGTTGGCGGATGTGACGTGGCATTAAATGCGGTGGTTGGTTGTCTCCAAAAGGAATCTTCGATGATTGAGTGTGTTTTGGCCGAAGGCTCCCCGTGTAGCCGAGGGCTCCATGTGACCAAGGACCCCTGTGTAGCCGAAGGCCTTGTGTGACCGAAGGCTTGGTTCAGCCGAAGGCTTCTCCGATGCCGAGGGCTTGATAATACCGAAGGCTCATGTCTTTCGCCGTTTTCTCCCAGTAGCTTCTTATGTCAGAGAAGGCTGTCCTGTGAGTTTTGGAGCCTTCGGCCAAGGAAGCCGAAGGCACCCCCAGTGTGTAATCTGGGCTTCTTTGAGGCTTGGGCCGTTGCATTTTGGGCCTGAGTTGTTCTCTGGGCTCAATGGACTTGTGTAGGAGAAGTAAGAGTCTATGGGTCGGGGGTTCCTGGGCCATATACTCCATCAAGACCCATTATAGGATCAACGAGTCATATTGTTTTTTCCATGGTGGTTGGAAGTGGCTCTTTTATCTTTTTGTTCCCTTGCTGAATGCTTTTATATCAATTTAAACCGCTTTGTTCCAAATAAAAACCTTAAAATTCCCAAATGGCAATTCAATTTAGGATGGTATTAATTTGATTTATTGGGTTTCACCTCATAATTTGAACCTGTAAAGAAACAAAATAAATTACTACCCCTCCCATAAATAGTAATTATGTATTTTCTATTTGGATAGTTCCAAAGGTTAGATTTTGTTTTGATAAATGACCCTACACACATTCATATTATAAACTTTTTATTTAAATATATACAACTCTTAAGGTTTATTCTTTCAACTTCGAAGACCCAACACCTTCCTTTAGGTTTTGAGTGGAAGAGTTTTGGTGGATTATGAGTATTTGGATAACACAAGTAAATAATGGACAAGTAAAGAGTAGTAAGTGGGCCATATTTTATTAATCAATAATAAGGGTCTATTACAGCACACTTCACCAGTCACCACAAGCCCGCTAGGCCGATCGTCTATCTGAGCTGGTAAGAGGGGCGATCATTGCTATTGCTAGAGAATATAAGTTGTCAACTCCTAACTATAAAATAAATGTTACTATTTATACTACCAAGGGATAAGTGGTGGGGATGATATGGAGGTTCATGATTGGCAAGCACATTCTCCGGGTCTTCTGACTGTGGCCCAAGTAAGCACAATGACATGGCACCGCTCGGCCTACATTGGCTTTCCTCCCCGAGGCTCTTTGCCCATCACCTGGCTCTATTTGGCCAAAGATACTGAAGTCGGGCGTCTTCGATGACAGGACGAGCGTCTAGCTGACTTCCATACTGGGTCGCTCCCAAATTGGGCCTTGAGGGTTTTCTTTGCTAAGGGGTAATGGGCCACTCCTCTTCAGCCTATTAACCCAAAAACTGTCATTTTTATTTGGGATATTTTGACTTTGCACCCCGCTTTTTGGGTGATATTGGACTTTGCACCCCATTTTCAAAGCTGTTAGACTTTACACCCTATTTCCCCTAAAATGTTTTTGCCTTTGCACCCCATTTTCAAAACTGTTAGACTTTACACCCTATTTCCCCTAAAATGTCTTTGCCTTTGCACCCCATAAGCAAAATGTCGTAGATGGGGTGCAAAGTCTAAAAGTTTTGAAAATGGGGTGCAAAGTCCAATATCACACAACAAGTGGGGTGCAAACTCAAAATTCCCCTTTTTATTTTACTACTTTTTCACTGCTACAATAAAATTTAGGTATAGTGAACCAATTTCTTAGTCTAAGAGCCCATATAAATTGTCATTGTTAATTTGAAACGGAGAGAACATAACAACCCAGCCGAGTAGACCGGAACTAGACCCAAAAATGGCGGTTCAAGATACGAGTAATTCTTTCCTATGAACTGGAGCCAGCCAATCCGCAACCCTAATAAAACCAGAAACGGCCAGTATCTAGACAATTGTACTACTAATTTTGAAAATGGGATGCAAAGTCCAATATCACACAACAAGTGGGGTGCAAACTCAAAATTCCCCTTTTTATTTTACTACTTTTTCACTGCTACAATAAAATTTAGGTAGTGAACCAATTTCTTAGTCTAAGAGCCCATATAAATTGTCATTGTTAATTTGAAACGGAGAGAACATAACAGCCCAGCCGAGTAGACCGGAACTAGACCCAAAAATGGCGGTTCAAGTAATTCTTTCCTATGATCTGGAGCCAACCAATCCGCAACCCTAATAAAACCAGAAACGGCCAGTCATCTATATCGAGAAATTGCACTTGTACTAATACATAAGTCGCTTAATTGTCCGTACACTGAACACGTAATGTTCTGGTAACCATCAGAATGCACATTTAAATAAATAGCGTGAAATAAGTAGCTTTAACATTTAAATTTACAAAAGAAAAGCAGCCTGCAAATAAATGAGGCCAGTTGCTCGAGATTTTACTAGTAACCATCAGAATGTACATTTAAATGAAATGAAAGATAAGTCGCTTTTACGGGAGCAGGGGTTAATTAGCCATGCGGCTGATACCCTTTGATAACTTCAAAAAAAAAAAAGTAAGCAACAAAATTAAATGGCCCCTGTTACTTAAGTATCTGTTTCCAAGGAGGGTATAGACGGTCTTAGAAGCTGTTCTCTTCGCCTGATCTGAATGTTTCTGATCTGAATTTTTTAAGTTCTGATCTGATCTGATCTGAATTTTTCTGATCTGATCTGATCTGATCTGAATCTTCCTGATCTGATCTGAATGTTTCTGATCTGATCTGAATCCTTCTGATCAGATCTCAATCTTTCTGATCTAATCTCATTTGAATATTTCTATGATTATAATTATAATTATAATTATTATAAATGCAATTACAAATATAACTTAAATAAAATTATAATTATAATCGTCACTATAAAAATAATAATGATAATTAAAATTAAATTTAAAATGAAAAAATTTATACATATTACACTAATTATAAATATAGATATAATTATAATTGTAATTATATTTTTAATTATAATTACTTATATAATTATAATTGTAATTATAATTACAATATTTATCTCTATAATTGTAACTATAGTTATCAATATTATTATAATTACTCCGTAAAATAATTACAATAGTAACAATAATAATAATTATAATAAAAATAATAATTATAATCATAAATTATAACTATAACATAATTATAAGTATATTTATAATTAATAATAATTATAATTATATTAACATTAATTATAATATTATAATATAATAATAGTGATATAAATACAATTAATATTATTATAACGATATTATTATATTAATATTATTACAATAACATAATAATAATAATAATAATAATAATAATAATAATAATATAATTAGTATTATATTATTATAATATTATATTATAATTATACTTATAATCATAATTATAATTACGATTATAATTATTATAATTATAATTAATTACAATTATAATTATAATTAATTATAGATATAATTATAATAATTACAATTGATATACTTATAATTACAAGAATTATAATTGTAAGTATAATTATAATTACATATAATTATAATATAATATTATAATAATATTAATCATATTATTATTATTATTATTATTATTGTATTGTAATAATAATAATAGTCTTCTTAATAATTTCATTTATATTACTATTATTATATTAAAATATTATAGCTATATTAATATCTTATTTTTTTATCATATTATTATTAATATTATTAATAATAATTATATAATAATCATCATAATAGTAATAACAATATTAATAATAATAATTAATATAATAGTTAAAGTGATAAATCATGTTTGAACCTATTGAATTTGATCTAATCTGATCTGAATCTTTCTGATCTGATCTGAATAAAATAAGAATAAGTAATAAGTAATAAGAATAAGACGAATAGAACAGCACCTTAGTCTATATCTGCATGTACGTTTAACATTTTATAAAAATTAAAAGTTTTAACATTACATGACCATGTAACAATCAATCACTTCTTATACTAGTATGTTTTAAAGGTCATGTTATTTATTAATCAAGATATAGACTAGGCACTTCAAAACCTTCCCGGCCAAAACCTATTGAACATATCCAAACAGAAAAGCTAAAAAAAGCTTTATATCCTACCTTCAGACTATCAGCAGCACTCCTGAACACCTATCCTACTGATTTGCTGATAATAGACAATACTTTCCCCTTCAATTTTTCGATTCGCTGCATTACAACATATAAATGAATACAAGACAGATACAAAAGACACAATGCGAGCACACAAAAAGGAGAAAAACAAAACATACCGAGCTAGATTTCTTAACCCAGTCCTGGAGAAAAGCTATGGAGCAATTTAAATGAGAGCAGTGCGGGTGATCATAATTTAAGTGATATGTTGAATTCTCTGTCCCTTCAGCCACCCAGATATGGTTTGTTCCATCTTTATCTTTCTTAGTGAGATTCAAGAAACACACCTATAAAGACAAATCCAGTACGCCGGAAATCTAAGTACAAAGAGAGGCTCGCACACTCAGCAAATCCTGACTAAATGTATCCATCGAATTTAGCAAACACGTACCACTGATCCAGCAAGTTTACAAAGTTCATTTCCGGTGTTTGCTAAAGTAAAGCTAATTGCCAACAATGAAGTATCCAACGCAGTTCTCGATCCATCAGTTACAAACACCCATTGTTTCTTTTGATGAGCCACTGTATACAGCTCTCCAACATAAATGACCAGTGCAGCAATATCAATTTCTCTGACAAACAAACCCATACAATAAAATCAAATGCAAAATTGCTTCTTGTATGCCTTCAAATTCACACTGCGGGTATGCTTGAATCACGAAAACTGTTGGGGAAAAGAAAGCAAATGACAACGAAAGCCAATTTCATATGCTTGGATTTACCTTAAAAATGCAATGGAAATTAAAATACTACTAGTTTTGATTTTTTGCATATATTTAGATCTTAAACTTTGTCAAGTTGAAATAAATAATACTCCTAAATAAATAGATAGATAGATAGATTAGAAAGATTAGATAGGTAGGTAGGTAGATAAATATTTATAAATAAATAAATAAATAAATAAATAAATAAATAAATAAATAAATAAATAAATAAATAAATAAATAAATAAACAAATAAACAAATAAACAAATAAACAAATAAACAAATAAACAAATAAACAAATAAACAAATAAACAAATAAACAAATAAATAAATAAATAAATAAATAAATAAATAAATAAATAAATAAATAAGTAAGTAAATAAGTAAGTAAATAAATAAATAAATAAATAAATAAATAAATGTGCTTGAGAAAATATCTACAATAAATTTATTGAGTTTCAGCGCAGCTTTTACTTTCCCCAAAAATTATTTCCTTCCAATTTGAATCCTTATTTTTCCTCCAGGTCCCTACATTCCAAACGGACCCTAAAACTAATACGGAGTATTAAAGCATTATACCCTCACCTTGATACAGGAACTTCATCTAAGTTAGATAATGAGATTGATCTTCGGGGCATGAAAAATGGCCTGCAAAAGCCCTTTTTACAATTCTGGGACGTTATGGAGATAAAGAAACAAAGGGTTGGTGAGCTAAGCTTACTGAAAATGTTGAATTCCAGAGGGAGATAAAGGTTTCCATTTTGATGTAGATCCTTTTGCATGCAAATAAAGGGCGCTTGAATCGGAGCTTTGAGCCATAAGCCCTGAAACTTCGTAAGCTTGCCCCTCAGTGAGTTCCACTTGCTGAGAAAATCAATGAGTAAAATATGTGATGGAAAATTGATATGAATACTTTTTATGGTAAATTGCTTATATTAAAATTAAAATGTTGAGAATGAGCGAGCATACATGATGACATGAGAGATACCCCAAACCGATCACAAGCACTAGGATTAAAATTAAAGGCAATCACCAACAAAAGAGCAGCCTCGTTAAACACAAAACGGGACACAGTAAGGGAGTGTTTGCAATTGCTTAAAAAAGTGATTTTTTAAAGTGATTTTGGGAAAAGTGATTAATAGTAAAAGTTGGTAGTGTTTGAGAAAAAAGTGATTCTGAAAAAGTAAAAGTTGGTAATGTTTGGTAAAATAAGTACTTTTTGTGTAATAGAAAAAGTGAAAAGCAGTTTAAAGCACCCTTCCACCTGCTTCCAGCTTTTAGCTTTTAAGTTTTAAGTGATTAATTTAAGCAGAAGCTGTCATTTGAAAACACTCTTTTTAGCTTTTTTTAAGCCAAAAGCTGAAAAACGCTTTTTTTAAGCAACCACAAACACTGCTTAAGTCTATGGCCCTATAGTGATCAAATTAACATCTATATCACCAAATTAAACTCCAACCTGGACCCTCACTACTACCTCAACTAAAACCAACTCAAAGCCAAGCACAGACTTCCAAAAACAAAACAGAAACAATTATGCAAACTTAAATAGAATATAAGAAAAAAACTAAAAACAAAGAGAAAATTCCCGAAATATGATTAAAAACGTTTGGGAATTCCAAAATATGAGTGCTATGTTTTTCTTTCAAAAATAGGAATACGTTACTGCCATACTGAAAATTTACTGCCATGTTTTGGCATTACAGGGCTTTAAACATGGCAGAATACTGCCATGAGTGGTAGTACTTGCAAGCTTGGAAGTAACTATTCTTATTTAGGGGATAAAAACATAGCACTCGTATTATGGAATTCCAAACATCCTTACTCCAATTTAGGGCAATTTCTTATAAACAAACGATACAGAAACCAAACAGATATCAATACTTGTTAACAGGGAATTATATTTCCGATGATAACAGTAAAGATATGAAGTTTATGTTTTGAACTCTTGAAGCAACCTGCTTTTCAGTCGGATTCCAGATGGTAATTAAGCCTTCTCTTGGGGAATTTTTTTGTCGACTACTTTTGCGGATTAACCCAACAACTCTAACTCGCATAAATGGAGTGACATCTCTTGTTGTTGTGAGACCAGCAGCTTCCAGAGCTGTGTCGAGAGATCTTTGTATATGATACTGTTTCTTGGCCTGCCAACAAAAATCACACCCTAAGCAACAAACATCCGTCTCGCAACAGAACAGCAATCAGTCGAATAAAAAGTAATAACTCACCTCTAATTTAGCTTGATAAGAAGAAAATGAGTTAAGCTGCTCTACACTCATTTCTGCCATAAGAATATCAGGTTCAGCTGCTGTCTCAAGTATCTTTAAGAGTTTGGCTCCTTCTTCACTTTCATAATCATTACCAATAATGATATCTATATTTTCCTTTTGAAACTCAGCAGCTACTCCCTCCGCAACATTACACCTTCTACTCCATTAAAGAAATGATTCTTATATCAATTGAAATTTTCAAAACTAACGAATAAGATAACCTCTGAGGGGGAACTATGAAGCACTCTGAGGTGTTAGTGTGTTATTATGTAATCAAGAGGTCACAAGTTGACAAGAGAAGGCTTGCCTCCTAATCTCCTATACACTATAGTGGTGGGACCCTTCACCGGACCTCACCTTGCGGGGACACCAATGTGTATCTGGCTGCCCTTACCATAAAAGGTACTCCCTCGATCCTATGAGAGTCCTCGTTCAATAACTTATTTTGTCCCTCCAAACAAAGGTAATGTTCCGCGAACTCCTTTTGCTCCCAAAAATAGACTGATTTAACTTTTATTTTTAAGTACAATTCCTGTAAAGCCAAATGGGAAGGGCTTTACCCAAGTACTCCAAACAAGCTTGGGAATTAGTACTTGTGGTATAAATGTCCGTTCATAACTTTTCAATGCATATAGCTTGATTGAGTTCACTAAAAATAAAAAATGTACCTCACTTGGAAAGTCTTTTAGGTGACACTCATATTTTCCCTAAAATATGAGTAAATTACCGCCATCCCAAAATCACATTGTAATATTTCACCATTGCAATGTGCACTAATATAGCAGTATTAATGTCATAACTGGCAGTATTTTCCAAGCATAACACTGTGTCCCTAATTACTCCTGCTTAGGGGAAAACATATTGCTCCAATTTTGGAATTTCAAAATGTTTTTACTCCTATGTAGGACGATTTCTGTGAAAAGTAATCTCATTCTCGTTTTATTTTTAGCATACATGCGAGCATTACAATATTTCTTGCAGATGAGCACTGAAACTCCCCGCAAGGGAGTTTCAAACAAAAGCTGGTGCAGATGAACATTACGGTTTTGCTTACAGAAAACTCTGCAGCCAAGATAAAGAGTGTAGCTCAAGAAAAGCACATAATGAATAAACAATACAGAATCTCAAAACAAAAGTTCACATATTAGTATAATATGCAATGCATTTATCACGTCCTGCATAAATAAATAAATAAAAACTCTATATACCTTTGGTTATATTGTTCTATTGCTTTAGCTTCCATTCTTTCATTCCTCACCATGTATCCTCCATTACTTAATCTAAGTAATCAGAAGCACTAGTCAAGCTCTGTTCGATACACGAAAGTGTATCACAGTATGAAAGAATGCAGAGCTACCTTTCTCTGTACAGAACGGGGTAAATCTTTGTAACACCAACCAGTGTGATAGGGACAGCACCTCCTGCACCTTTGATGGAATTAAATGCTAAAGGAACACCTATGTCCTTGCCTGTTATGAGATAGAAAGTGAATTTTCAGTAAATGAAAGATATTGCTCTTATAGTTGCAGGAGTAATAGTACTATGTATCATAGCCCATGATTAATTGCTTACAAAATCCCAAGCGGTCTGCCCAATGTGCTCTGTATGTCCCATTTATATGCAATGTTAAACTAGGTTCCTTTGAGGCCTGAAGTTAAAGAGAACACTAAGTGTAAGAAATTCTAAATAAATAATAAATAAAATAATTGAACAACCCAATTGGATCAAATTCAAGATGTGATAACCTCAAGAGGTGAAACAGGCCCCGTCCAGCCACATAGGCCAGCTCCCCAGATCTTTAGATCACAAATATGCAATATTGTAAGCAAAATAAAACATCAGAAATGCTAGCATGTGTGCATAAAGAATTTGTATATAAAATAACGACGGGAATGTGTGTGATACCCTGAGTTTTTGGCCTAAAAACAGTTTTTTGGCAGCTAACTTTTTCGAAAGCTCTCCATCTAAAACAGCAGTAATTGAATACCTGTTACAGGAAAACATGAGCATTCAAGCAGTGAAAAATATCATACCAACAGATACCATCTCACATACCACCCATCAGTTAGCTCTATTTTTGAAGCAGAGTTTATAGTAATCCCTGTAGATGAAATAGGTCGATCTTGAAGTCTATTTTTGGTGTCATAAACTGGACCAATGGAAGAAATGCACAACACCATCATCAATGATGATGGTGCATCGCCTTCTAGAACTCTTTTGATTGCAGATCGATGGCCATAATGTACTTCCCTCTCATATCTGCACAAAAGGAAATGAACAAACAACTACTTACACCTGGAAGTAATAGAATATAGAGATTTCAAATGTTAATAATGGATACCTATACTTCAACTCTTCCAGCACATTAGAGACTGTCAGAAGTTTCCCAGAAAATTTGGCGGGAAAGCATCTTTCATAAGATGCGAGTTTCCAAACAATCCACTTGTAGTGATTTGCAACCCACCTACAGGAATAGAGGAGGCAAAGTAGCTAACTGGTAAAATATTTGAACAAAAAATTAACAAGATACATTTTGCCAATTAGTGTCTTATGTTCCTATCTATGGAAATGTAAGGCTCGGTTGTTGTTGTTGTGTCTTATGTTCCTATCTATAGAGATGTAAACCCTCAATGCAGTAGGATACAAATAAGCCAAAGCATTCCTGCAAGTATACTAAGATGTAGAAACCTACATTTATGACAATTAGAAACGAATGCATGCAGATTGCAGATGAGTTCATATTGTGCATTTGTGCACCATTATTTAAACAGCCCGCTCATGGAGAATGTGAACAATTATTATCCCACCTAAACACATGATCAAAAGCTAAAGTGGATTGTTCAGTGCAAAATTCAATTATTAAACCCAAAAACAGTGCATGCCATTACATTTTAGAAAAGTACTGATGTGAAGCTCCACAGTGAGATAGCATTAGGAAAAAAGCATCTGCTCCCAGACTGGTAGAGCCATGTTCATCATGGAACAGGTATGACTCAGCTGTTTCTGGACTCATTCTTCTCACCTGATCTCCAACATTTACTAGCTAGATTTATGACAACAGGAAGTATTAGCAGTGTGAATAAATAGTACGGAGTAGAAAATAATTCCTTATTGAATAAGTATTAATGTTTTTTGAGAAAAAAAAAATAGAATTAGAGTTAATGGCACCTTGCTTTGGAATCTTGGGGGCTCTCCAAGGTATTCCTCCATATACAAACGTGAAGCCTCAAATGGGTACCAGTCTGAAACTCTTCCTTTAAATGTTGATTCCTTTGGTGCTAAATTTGACATCCCTAGTAGAGATGCATACAATTACATAAGTAAGATCCATATAGCACGAGGATTGACTAAATGTCCAGATTGTACTATGATCTACCATTATGAATGACTGGCATATTCTTGTTCAGAGGTGGAGTAAATTTTTCCAAGCGAGGCCTCCTGAAAGGAGAAACAAAGCAATTTCCAAGTCTTCTCTTCTCAGTAATCTTCTGCGTGCCATCTGGACGTCCAACAGCAGTAGTGTTTGAGATATCAGTTAGTACCCCAATTGATGATGTTCGAAGTGATGTTTGAGGTGATGTGTGACTTGAATAGATATCTTTTTCATTATAACTCGGAGGCAACATATTGGATTTCTGTTGTAAAAGGTTTTGACAACAATGAATAGCATTATGTGACTCGTTTGCACCATCATTTGCCACTGCATCAAAATGCTTGATTAAGTTGTTTGCTGGATGGATATTATCGAGCTTCACGGTCAACTGCCTTTTCTGTAGAGTAGACTTCAGGGGAGATGTAAACCTTCCAGAATAACTTACACTGTGTGTTGACCGTTGATGCGATGGAGTACAAGACTGACGTTTAATAGTTGAAAGGTTACAGTTGGATTTTCTTTCATCAGAAAATGAAAACATAGGAGAAGCTGAATCTTTATCCTCTAGAGCACAGCTATCCTCTGGATCTCCAAGCAGTTTTTTTGCTCGACTCAATGCACTACTAGAAACAGAAATTGATCTCCCACCAGCTGTTTGAAACTTAATCGGATGTGGTTTAGGTGCAGAGTGCAAATAATCTGGAATATCCCCATCTGAAAATATTCTGACAAATTAACATTTATTTGTAAGGGGATAGTCAAGTTACTGAAGCGTCAGAAAATTTAATGATAGCTATACCAGTATTCTTTCGTAAAGGAGATGAACATTGCCATTCATAAGGCTCGTCATAATAATTTGACTGTTTGTTTGTCTGCTCGAAGTCTTGAAACCTCTCTGTTTCATTCAAGTTCAACAACTTTCTGGCTCTTACAAGCCCTGCTGGAGATATAGTGACAGCTTTACCGGACCCTGTTTGAAACAATGACAACGAAGTATTTACTGATTTCCCTGCACCATTTTGAAAAGCATGTTTATAACGATTGATTGCATTATCTGAGTCTGTGTGGGGCATGAAATTCAGAGAACCAGTCCCACTGTCTCTACCACTGCATTCTCCTGCAAGGAAAGCATAGTCTCAATATTAACTTCATGCCCTGCATAGCTAAGATAGTTCAGCTTTATAGCAAATGCTGGAATGCAAGACAGCAATGTTATATTCAAATCTTCAACATCCTCATGTTTTTTCTTATTAGGCATATATATGTTCTAGTTATTTCAATTTTCAGGCACTTCAGCTTTCAGTGAGTTTGATGGTATCATATACATTACGATAGGCCAGCTGGGATTTTTCTTGAAAGCTAGACATACTGACTTTTTGAACTTCAAGCTAACAATTTCCCACCAATACTCTCATTTCTGGGGAAGGGTGTAAAAATATGAATAAATGAATAGATAATGCTCCATAGTCAGTAAAATTGCAGAAGAATTTTGGCATCAATACCAAATACTGCGGTGCGTCCATCCTGGACAACAGATGCTGCTTTGTCTAGAGAGGTCTGCTTCACTTCCATGGACTTCCCCAATTCTTCTCGGAATGTGAAAGCCTTCTCTGAGCATCGTGTAATAAGAACATAATACATGCGTAAGAAATTGGAACATGTGATTCAGTTTGTTTTGAAGGGGTGGAGTTTAAAATGGCAAGCAGTACCTTGACGGTGCAAGATATCAGACATTGAGGGAAGGCGCTGAGAGTCCGGAGGGGGAAGCGGAGCAAGGACACAGCTAGATGGCTTTTGGTCGGACAATTTCCACCGGAAGGTGTTCTCCCCATCGGAATGAATCTGCCACGTCGGCATCTCGCCACGGCGCCTAGGGTTCCGAAACCGAGGATTGTGCGCATTCACTGACGCTCGACAGGCTGACCTTGGAGCGATGTTCTTTTCATTTTTCTGCGTTACGCTCCATAGCATTTTTTAGGCGGGACATTTCGAAGAGGCGAAGCGCCACATCTCCCTTTTGTGCCTACTTTATAAAGTAAAATTTCTACATAAACTCAAAACAGGTTCGGGCCCAAATTTTGTAAACTTTCTGCCCATTATGTGTCGGCCGGCCTGACTTGGACCTAATTTCATGTCCATATCCGCCCATAAGAGCGGGTCGGGTAATCCGTCAGACCTCCAGCCCAGAAAAACTTTAATTTTTCAAAATTATATAATTTGTTTTAATACTTTTAAAATAATATTATGACATTTAAAAAAAATATTAATATGCTTATAAGGTTTATAGGCCTTTCATTCATATACCAAAAAACAATTACACAAAAATAATCATGAAAACCCGGATTCGACCCGACCCGCATTCCACCCCGGCTTTTTATCAACCTAGTAGTGTATCTAGGCCCATTAAAAAAATCTAATGACTAGCCCAATCCGTAGAAAGGAGAAAAGCCGGTGGCTCGTAATTCCTCATCCGACGAGCTTTGTACGGAATTGGGATAATTAACTCTTCAACAATACAACCCTAGCAGTCGCAATATGTCATAGTGGTGAAACTACAACCTTAGCAATCGCACAGCAGCGCATCTTCATCGTCTAGCCCGACGTGACGACGCATTAGCAGCTCAGCAAAGCTCGTATTACGGTCAACAATTAATTACTCCCTCCGCCTCATTTTACATGTCTTACTTTACTTTTTGGGTTGTCCCACAATAAGTGTCACTTTTCCCTTTTTCGAAAGAAACATGTGGTTCACAACATTTCATTTTATTATACTCAAATCTCAACCACATTTTTTACTTTTTCAATCACTTTATTAAAAATTGTGCCAAAAACAAAAGAGATAGGAAAAGTTATAAGGTAGATTCTATGATGCCCAAAAGGTATCGCACCTTTGTCCACATGACCAATCAGAATGTTGCAGTTGAATTACTATTTAAGTCTAAATTAAAATTGATATACCTATGTGGATCAATCAAGTGAATGGTAGGTACCGTATCCAATTTTTTTAGGTAGTTTCTATGGTACCTGTTGAGGTTTATTCCCGAAGATCCGAAAGCCCAACACAAGCCTTGGATATTGTAGGGATATAGGGTTGGATTAAAATGTGTATAAAATATAAAACAGTGAGATATTTGCTCAACTCAGAAGCTTACCGATATTCAATAAATATGTGATTACACTGGAGCTACCCGAACGGTAGATGAATACGAGATTACAAGGATGGAAGATGTAAATTTATTGCTAAGCTCTGAGTATTAAAATGCTAACCCTTTACAATGATCTAAACATGGATATTTATACTAAAAATGGGGATGGGTAAGGTGGACACGTGGTCGAATCTGGTAGGCTATCACCTCTGCCATGTAAGCACCCATGTCCCCACTTGCTACCGCCATGATCCAGCATTAAATGCGGCCTCCACTTGCTGATTGCCCGTTCGGGCAAGGTGTTCGGTGTGTGGGACCCCGCCATAGGTGATAATTTCTACCCGAAGTATCCCGAACGCCGATCGATATTTAGGTCTTGATACTTTGGCATAATTGTTTCCCAGAATGTTCCAAGTATAAGTTTTATCCCGAATGCCGTTCGGGAGTTCTTTGGGCTTGCTGCTTCTTCCCGGATTTGGGCCTAGGGATATTGGGCCTGGACCCAATATCCCAACACTAGTCCCCCACTTCCTATGTCTCGAACGGTAGTGAGTGCATGAGGAAGTAGAAGATAATTGCCCGAATGCCGTTCAGGTGAAAATCGAATGGCATTCCGCTGGTTCCCGAGGTATATTTTGACGGTTATTTGCAACTGTCGTTTCACTACTCCGATAACAGCCATGATTTCTTGAGAAGGGTTCTCCGCGTGACACGTGTATCCGTCATCATTACAGAAAACGTGTCCTCTTCTGATTGGGTGATGAATCGGCGTGACAGAGTATAAGTAGGCTCTCCTAGTTTTGATTCTGGGTTTCGAAACTTTGCATCTCCGGCTTATCATTCATCCTCTCTAGAGCTATTCCTTAGTTCTCGCTCAGGTACTTTCTGGCCTTTGTTTTTCTTCTATCCTCCTTGTTCGATCGGTATGGCAACCCGTCTTCGTTCCTCCGAGTGTTCTACCTCAAACGTTGATCTCCCTGAGAATACTCCTAGCCTGGCACTGGAGGTCACTCCTATCCCGGCGGAGGTCCCCCACGACGATGCCTCTTCATCCGGAACTTATCCCGATGGTACCAAATCCGGGGGTGAAATGGAGGCCATGGGAGCCGGTCCCCCTAGCGGCGTTTCTTGCCATAAGCTTGACCTAGCCCTAATTAGGCTGATGCGTCAAAAACTTACGGCCCAAAATAGGGCCCAAATCCAGATGATCCCGGACTCGGTGGATTTCCGACTCCAGGCCGGGCTTCACCCAATGCGTCATTTCCCTGGGATGGTAGTGGTCCACTTTGACTCAATTAAGGCCGGTCTTAGGTTTCCACTCCACCCGTTTTTTGTCTCTTTCTTAAATTTTTACAATGTAGTACCAGCTCAGATAATGCCGAACTCCTACCGGTCGATAGCTGGTTTCATTTGTCGTTGTCACAGTGTCAAGGTCATACCCACTCTAGAGCTTTTCCACTATTTCTTTTCGGTTATCCCCCAGCAGTCCCACGGCTTTCTGGTGGTAAGCTCCCGACCAGGACACATTTTGTTCTGTGAAGCTCCTTCTTCTATTAAGGGTTGGAAGGATAGGTTTTTCTTTGTCTCTGTCCCGAACGGTTTGATTCCTAGGAAGTGGAACGCATTCCCTCCTAAATCCCCCGAGCCATTCATCTCCGAGGAGCTTAGCAAAGATGTCATCGCTGTGGAGGCAGGAGGCTGCTTCAAAATCATGTCTTATCTGACTCCCGAACGGCTAATTAAGGCCGGGATAGGTACTGCCCGTATTCCTGGACTTACTTGACTGAAAACCAAGTACCATGGCCCGGGTGGTCCTTCCCGTGTGATATAATTTTTTAATCCACGTGTGAACCGCTCGGTACTAATTTGTCCTTGTTATCTTTTCAGCTCCAAAGCAAGGCGAATCTTCAGATTCCGAAGGAGCCAATCCCGAACAACCGGCCATGGATGATAGTAGGCTATTCACTGCTGGACTTGATGACGAGCCACCTTCTCCTCCCAAGCAGCAGAGGAAGACAAAAAGAAAAAGGTTGAGGAAGGCCGATCAGGGCGTCTCCTCTCAATCCGCCCCTCCCGTCCCCGAGCAGTCTGAACCTGTTCGGGATGTAGAACCTATGCAGCAGGTTGCCCCTGAGCAGCACACTCACGCTGACACACTGATGGATCAGCTTTTTTCTGACCAGCAGTCCCACCATTTCTCTGCTGAGGAGGTGGCTGCCCATGAGGCTGACCTGGCTAGTCAGTTCGAGCGGATCTCCCTCTATGATCCTGCTCATGAAATGCTGGAGAGGGGTGGCTGTCCAGCGAGCCAGATCTGGTCCACCTCTGGTTTCCTTAATGGACACAACCTTCCCCCAATACCGGTGGAGGAGATCGAGGAGTGCATTGCCCTGACTGTCCTGAAGGTAGCTTCTTGTTCATAATTTACTTTTACCTTTTTCTTTGTTTTGTCAGCTTATCTTGTGCTCATACTTTTCTTTTCGATCATTAGGCAGGGATATACAGCCTGAAGCTCAAGGAGACCAGGCAGGCCAAGGAACAAGGCTTGCTGATGGCCAAGGAAACGGCCGAACAGGCAGCAGAGGCCGAACGGCGGGCTTTTGCTGAGGAGCGGAAGAAGCTAGAAGCCGAGGCAGGGGAGCTCCGTGTTAAAGTGGGCGCTCTCCAAGCCAAGATTGCAGCAGCTGAGGCCGCTCAGATCAAATTCTCTGAGGCTCCTCCTCAGATCCCGGACGGACCGGCCGAAATGACAGTTGATCTTTCCGCCGTTCGGGATTCCTTCAAGGCTTCAGAGGAGTTTCTGGCTCTGAAGGAGAAGTATGCCACCGAACAGCTCCCCGCTGTCTTCGGGAGGCATTTGGAGAAAGTGGCCGGAGAGGAGCGCCAGAAGGAGGGGATCAGGGTGCTTGATCAGCATCCTGTCACCAAGGAGTGGGCTGATATCCTTGCCCGGGGGATCTATAGTTCAGGCTGCCAACATATGCTCCAGCCTCTCCTCCCCCTCCTAGAAAAGTATATGGGCCGATCAGTGCAATCCTCCGACTTTCCCTCTGACCTCCATCTGGGTCATCTGAACGCCCTGATGGCACAGATGAAAAAGTGCCGGCGAGCCCTGGGGATGGAGGTCGTGCAGATTGTAGATGAGGCTGATGAAGACGATGATGAAAGCGATGAAGATCATCCCGAACAATAGATTAGACTTTATCTGTATTTCCTTTCCTTTGAATCAGTAGTTTTTTGTACTTTCCGGCCAGTAGAGCCGATGAATATACAACTTTTGCTTGCTCATTTCGTCTTTGTGACTTTTACTGTACTTTATATTTGTTTTTCCCCTATCAATTCGCCTCCGCAATACGTTTCATGTTTGCTTTGTTCGGGTGATCTCCATAATCTGAAGCGATCAGGTCACCTGTTCGGGTGAACTCCTTGTTAAATCCAGAATTCAGGACTTAATAATCTTGTTAACACATGTTGTCGGTAATGAACCCGTCCAGTTGTACTTATGATCTTGACATAAGACCCTAGTGCCCTTTTCATTCGTTCGTAAGCTTTCATTCTGACTAGTTGGAAATTGTGTCCGGTATTCGGGATGTATTTTTGCTCTCTTTGTTGCATCTGTCATATTCTTCCATGTTAGATAACCATACTGTTCGGGTACGCCCATCATTTTACCACCGTTATAAATTTCCTTCATGTTCGGGGAAACGCTTGTAGCCCTTTTTCTTTTATCCCGTCCGGGGAGACGCCTTTAGAGGTTCGTGAACTTTGCTGATTTCAACCCCGTTCGGGTGTTCACCCACCCCAAAGGATGGTTTAACTTCTCTCAGCCGCCTTGACACGTGTCTATTATTCATTCGAATTCCTGGCGGTTGTATTTCC